TTTGGAGCCTGTCCTGGAACTAACTCCTGTAGACCAGGCTGGTCTCGAACTCACAGAGATCCGCCTGCCTCTGCCTCCCAAGTGCTGTGATTAAAGGCGTGCGCCACCACCGCCCGGCTTGATGGGGGTACTTTTTGTCATTGGATTTTGATATCTTTTTGTAGTTGATAACTCTTTATATCCTTCTATATCTGTTACTATATACTATCTTTCTAAATCTACATTACATTAGTGTTTCATCTGTATGTCTGGCCACAAATCCACTGTATTTCTCTGTGTACCTTATGATGCTGATAATGTTACCATAACACACTCAAGTTTTACTGAGGAGCTTAATATCACTGTATTAGTTTTTTGTCTGTTGCTATGATAAAACACCATGGACAAAGCAACTTACAGAAGGAAGTGTTTTATTTGGGGCTTATGTTTTTAGGGGGCTAAGGGTCCATCATCATCACAGTGGAGAAGCATGACAGCAGACAGACATGGTGGCTGGAGCAAGCTGAGAGCTCACACTGTAAACTTCAATCAGAAAGTAGAGTGAGCAAACTTGAAATGGTGTACATTTTTTAAGTTCTTAAAACAAGTTCCCAATGACATACTTCCTTCCATGAAAGTCTACACCTCATAATCCTTTCCCAAACATTGCCACTACTTGAGAACCAAACATTCAAATATTCCAGTGAATCCATCAAAATCAAGTAACTTTTAATCAAAAAGTTAATGTGATAGCCTGCATGTAGGCTGATCTTCTTAGCTTTGTTTACTTGGTGGCATCTATATCCATTATAAATTAAGTGGGAAACTCTGAGTTTATAAATCCAAACACACTAGATAGTTAAAAGAATTTAATAGCCAAATTGACAAGGCTATGGGCAAGTGTCATATAGCTCCTTCCCCTTGCTGACCTTTCTTTTTCTCAACATTTTTTTAGAACAAGTTCTTTTTATTAGACTTGTTTTTAATGTTTTTTTTTAAGCTTTAATTGTATCCAGCGTTCATAGCTCACATGAAGTCATGTCATTGAGAAGGCCCAGCTTAGTTCAACCAGACAGACAGACTTATTTGTAAATCTGTAGTCCTTCATTGATGGTTATTGTTATATTTGTTAGCTCAACAAGCCAGACATACTTATTTGTAAATCTGTAGTCCTTAATTGATGGTTATTGTTATATTTGAATCACAGCAAAAGTAGAGCTTAAGAATGATTGAGAGAGAAAGCTGACTCCATCTATTTTTCTTCTTTCTTTAACAAACAGAACTTTCTTTAGCAGTAGGGAATTAGGAGGGTTTGCAGTTAGGGCTTCAGATTAGTTCTGGGGAGTCTGGAGAGCAAGGGACAGGATTTATTGGCATGTGCCTTCATGGCTGTGTAAATTTTGGGACATAGGAAGAGACATTTCCTTCTTATCGGTTCTCTGTGATGCCCAATCCCATTTCAGATGTTGGGTGTTCTGCCTCAGACACATGCACGCATGGTTTGGCATTGCATATGACCACTGCTGTTGGGACTTGTTAACTTTTTACTTCTTTGTTTTGTGTTCTATTAGTCTCATAGCCGAGTTGGCATGTTATAATCACAATAGAAACTACTTTGTCTAATTTCTGACCCTTGCTGTCCAGAAATGGCCTCTGAGTTCTAGTAGGGAGCTGTGTCAGGGTCTTCACTACTTGTAGAATAACAGACTTAAGGATTCAAATTTCTAAGAGGATGGCTGTGTCTCCTTCCCAAATTCTGCATCTTACTGGTTCAGAACACACAGTTTTTATCTAATAAATTTTATCTAATAAATTTGGGGCTTGATACTGCCACCTTTTTCTAATTCTGAGCTCAGCCACTGTCTCAGTTAGGGTTTCTATTGTTGCAAAGAGACACCATGACCACGGCAACTCTTATAAAGGAAAAACATTTAATTGGGGCTGGCTTATAGTTTGAGAGGTTTAGTCCTTTTTTTTTATCATGGTGTGACATGGTGGCATGCAGGCAGATGTGGTGCTGCAGAAGGAGCTGAGAGTCCTGCACCTTGTATCCTAAGCAACAGGGGGTGACACTGAGACATTGGGTGTGGCTTGAGCATATATGATATGCTCATATGATATATGATAGATGATAGCCCATCTCCACAATGACACACTTACTTCATTCAACAAAGCCATACCTACTTCATCAAAGCCACAGATAATAGTGCCACTGCTTATGAACTTATAGGGACAATTACATTCAAACTACCACAGCCACATAGCAGATTACCTGTAACTCTACAACTCTCAAAGTTCTGAGAGAAGCAGTCACCAGCCACCAACCAGCTCAGGTAAAGGAATCTAATGCCTCCTGCTCGTCTGTGACTGATGAACTTTAAGCATCTCATGGTAATACTGGGCCAGAATAGTCTGCTTCCCACACTGGAAATCGTGGCAAGTCTGGGAAGTTGTCATATGATATTGGGGAAACCCAGGTAACTTCTTAAGGCTCTTGGTTTCACTAATAAAAGAATTGAAGGACAGACAAAAACGGAAGCTTGAGGAGAAAAAAAAAAAAAAAGCTCAAACAGAAGCTTGACTATTGAACTTTCAAAAGAAAATTCCAGGGCAGGCAAGCTGCAAGTCTTGAAGTTACTCTGGAGAGACAGGAGGTCTGTCACATGGAGGCAGTCACACTGCTGGGAGAGGAGCTTTAGGAAAAGAGCAGAGCAGCTCAAAACATTTGTTAAGAGAATTTAAATGCATACTTAGGCTCTTGTCAGCACCTAAAAGAAAAAGAAACACAAAAGAATAGTTATATTCTGAGTCAGGACCCAGAAAGCCAGGTAGACCCAGAAGAATGTCCTGGCAGCTGGTTTGTAGGGACTGCACCAGAGAGTGGGAATTCAGGAAATGTGAAGTACTTCGATCTCCTTGACTGCAGGTAAGCCCTCATCCTTGTTCAGTAAAGACTTTTCAGGTGTAGCCTACTGGGGTAGGAGCACCACAGCGATGTAATGGTACCATATACGCTATAACTCAATAAACTCATTGGTTTCCAAAGTGAATTTTGGTGATACTCTGCCTTGACTTGTTCTTGAGACTTGGGGAGAAAGGGTAGATGTTTCTCACATGTACCCAGTGAAGGAATTTCAGCAACAATAACAAACGTAAACCTTTTTTTTTTTTTTTTTTTTTTAGAAAAACAGGAATTCTCATTTAAAAAAGAAAACTTTCTCAATGCTATTGGCCCCATGCAATAGGCTATGTTTTGAAGTGTAAATATTATTATATCTAATCCTTGTAACAGTCATTTGTAGGTGGCAATATTCCAGTTTTTATAAGAAAACAGAGACTCGGAGATGTCACAAATTTTGCTAAGAGCATAGGAATGATAGTGGACCCGAAGTTTGAGTTATGAGAATCACCACACTCTGTGTATTGAGCTCTACTACTACTGCATCGACTGTAACACGTGGTGCTAGGGAGAAGCAGGATACTTTTACACATTGTCTATTGTCAAGGTGGAATGCAAAACCCCCAACATGGAGGTCTCAACAGGACAAAGGGGCAGTACTTTTAAAAGTTAACCACACTTGAAGAATGAGTCACTGTCTTACAAACTGTTGATATTAGACCCATCTGAATGATTAGGACAACCCTCGCCAATGTTTTTAATTTACCATTGATCATGTGTGACTGTGTGCCTGTATAAAACATAATTATTGAGTCTTAGTCTGAGAAAGGTTTGTGTTGTCTTCCATACAGAGTAAAGCAAAGTCCTTGAGAGCTCTTGACAAGTTTTGCAAATCACAAGAAGTCCATTCAATGTTAAAGCCTGGTGCAGGTGAGGCCTAGAATCCTGGATAGCTAGAGGGGTCTACACAGAACAGTAAAATTTAGGTCCAATTTTGAGTTGAATGGTTGAGGAGGGAGTCGGAAGTACACTCCAAGTGGAGCATCACTGGGAACTGCGGGATTACAGCAGTCATGCCCTTAAAAGATGTACCTCTCACTAAGGGCGCAGTGCAAGATAGTGCAGCCTCTGGAGAAGGCACATTCTAGCTCTGCACCCCCCCCCGCCCCCCCCCCCACTTGCCATCTCGATCCCGTGACGCTCCCCCCCCCCCCCCCCCCCCCCCCCCCCCCCCCCCCCCCCCCCCCCCCCCATCTCGATCCCGTGACGCTATCAGGCCGGCGCACTCCTGGCCCAACTTCCGTTTCCTGTCCTCGGTTCGGCTTCTGCAGAAACTTCGCTCCTGGGTGGAAAAGGGGCGGGCCCGCAGAAGCCGCGCAGGCGCACGGCAGCCGCTGCAATGGCGGTGCCGGGCTCCTTGAATAGGTATCTGCTGCTCATGGCACAGGAGCATCTGGAGTTCCGCCTGCCGGTGAGTCGTCCTGGGGTACCCGACGCAGAGACCCGCACTCCCTCGCTCGCCGGATTGGGGGTCTCTGGGCAGCCGCGAGCGCCCGGCTTGGGGCGGGGGCGGGTGAGGTCGCTGGTGGGATGAGATAGCTCAGGGGACCTTTCTCCAGGACCAAACCAAGTCATTCATTTCTCTGGACGTGAGCCTGGCGCCGCAGTTAAGCAGGAGAACCTGATCAGGCCCCCCAGGACTCCTCGTCTGACCGAGGACACAGACGTCCCATGAGGGCGCTCAGGGGAGTGTGAGAAGTATCAGAATATGAAGTTCAGGCATGGTAGAAAGCTTGAGGGTGGTACTTGATGAAGTTGGGAAACAGCTTTTTGTTTATTCAAGAAACGTTTTCCAAAGCGGGTGTAATCGCGTGCTCCGGGAGGCGAGGATGTGCTGACTGACAGCCCTGCCTTCAAAGAGCCTACTGTTCATTTAGGCTAAGGGCCAGCAGACACCTAAGCACAATTGTAACGTTGTTAAGTGCAGTGATGGGGTGCCCAGTAAGGATAGATGGGAGCTTTTAAAAAGACAGTCTTGTTCACCGAGGGATGGGGGCTTTCATGGTGGCCTCCGTGAAGAGGTGACATTGAACGACAGGATTTTTTAGCTGGGCCGAGGAAGTAGGTACACTAGAATTATAAACTGTTGTTCATTTACTGGTTACCAGTTACGTGGCAGAGCGTGGCCAGGAGAGAAGTAGGTTGATGGACCAGAAAAAGCAGACTTGAGAACTCTATAACTTGGAAGCGGGATTAAAGAGGTTAAAAGAGGCAGAGTTAGATTGTTTTTAATAGAAAGCAAAATGAAGGACAGACTTGGGAGGAAGAAGACTTGAGACTGCTTAAGAATCAGTTGAAATGTTAAATGTTTAAGAAATTAACCTAGTGGTGAGCAATAAGGACAGGAGAGACTTGCAGTGTGGGAGATGGGAACAAATCTAGACTTAGGATAAATCTTTGTGATTGTTTTGCATAAGAAAACTACGAAAAGGTGGGATTTTTTTTCAAGTGTAAGTTCTGAAAGTGGTGAGACAATAGAATTGAAGAGATGGTTCACTGGTTAGAACACTCACTGCTCATCCTGAGAACCCAAATTTGATTACCAGTAACCCTATCAGGAAACTTGCTCACAGGTATCTGTAACCCTACTATGGGGAGAACCCACACTTCTAGACCATCAAGCCTTTCTTAGTTTTCTAAGTGTACACAGGTTTTGTGTTTGTTTGTTTGTTTGTTTTTGAGTGGTGGGCCAAGTACAAATGCTTGGAAGCATTGACATTAAAGGAAAACTGGAAGAGGAGACCACTCATCATCCCAAACATTAGAGCCTCAGACACAAGGAGAGAGTGAAGGTTTAGAGAGCAGAAATGAATAGTGTTGAATGCATGTACTTTGGGGTTAAAAAGGTTACTCTCTGAAAAGATAAAAGTGAGGAAAGGGAAATAAGGCAGACTTCACGAATATCCGAATATGAGAGGGGAAAGGACAAGATTAGTTACTGTTTGAGGGGACTAGGGAATAGACCTGCCGAGAGAACAGAGCTTCAGTCACCACCATCTTATTGCCATGATATCTACATTTCTGTGTTGAGCTCGGCTTAGGGACATCCTACCCCAGATAGCTGTGATAATATACATGGGAAGGAATGGAGAGTCCAAGGATGTGGTAATATTTAGGAGATCTGAAAATCAAATTATAGTTTTACTCCCATGTTTCATAATGTCTCCTCTTCAAATTTGTGTTATTCCTGTAAAGAAGCCTTCGGGCTACCTTCACTGATTTACCCATCGTCTGTACTAGTTTGTGATTCATTCACATGTTTGACTTGAACTTACCCCTCACACACACACACAAACACACACACACACACACACACACACTCACCTCGTCAGAATATTTTTATTCTTTAAAATTTCCATACAGATTGTTTTGATTGGATTCACCTCCAATTCCTCCTAAAACTCATAACTTTCTAATGCAAGAAACAATCTGATGTATAGCCAAAGGAAAACTAGAAGTAGCATTTGTTGTCAAATCTCCCATTCCTTTTGGTTTGGAATGGACAATTTGATGATGTGGCTCTCTTTCTCTGCTGACGGCTTTGGGCTGGGTGTTAAGATCTGGCAGGGAGGAGAGGAGAATGTTGGCAGCCAGCAGCAGGGTCACTTAACTTCTCCTTAGTTCCTTTCGCCATAGGGCCAATGTAGAGGAATAGAATTCATTTGCTATTGAAGGAAACAAATTTTCAGTGTTAAGAGGCAAACTCTTTGTATAGTCATTCTGTGTTTGTCAGTCCAAAGAGATTCCTTCAAAGAATCTCTGTGTTATTTGATCAGATTTCCCCTTTGCATGTGTGTTACATTTAACATCTCTACTGTGGGCAGGTGTGGTGGCCTACTCCCGCAATCCTAGCCTTTGGGAAATGGAGGCAGTGAATCAGGAGGTCACAGCAGCCATTGAGACTCTATCTCAAAAAATAAGCACACAAAAATAAAAGACTCACTGTATTAGTCCTTTCTAGTTTTATTCCTATTGGGAAAGGAAGTTAACCATGTACTTATCCATACAGAATTCACAATTATGGTCCCCTAGCTAATTATTTCTTTTCCAAACATCTTAAAATTATGTTTAATAATTGATTTTATTTTGCTTAGTTGTTTGTCTTATTTACTAACCTATAGCATCTGTAAATGTTTTCTCCCTCTCCAAACCAGGACAGGACAGTTTCTTTTTGCACCTTCTATATAAAAATTTCTCAGAAATTGCTTAATCATGGTTAGGACCATACAAATCTCCTCAGAGCTACACATTCCAATTGCCTGATGTTGAAACTTCAATGCCTCAAGTAGAGATCAGCCTACGCTTTTATTTCTATTATTAGACCTGTTTTTCTTAGCAGGCTGAGTTTAAAGTCGCTCTTCTTGGTGGTGTGATGAAGTAGCTGCCAGAAGTAATCACATGGAAGAGTTTTGTTTTGACTCCTGGCTTGAGAGAGTATAGTTGAGGCATGGTGGAGTGGCTTAGTGTGTGGCAGGATCGTGGGGAAGCAGCCTGCTCACTTGACAGACCGGAGAAAATGAGCAGGTTGGAATCATCCTCAAATCCTGCCTCTTAGTGATGGACTCAGTCATCCCTGGCTCCACAAGCCAAGGGCTGAGGTTTAAAACATTGAGGGACATTTCTTAAATACACAATAACAATATGTATTTTCTCTGTATTTTCGATACAGGAAATAAAGTCTTTACTATCACTTTTTGGAGGCCAGTTCATTAACAGTCAGGAAACTTATGGAAAGGTAAGATGAATTTTTTTTTTTTTTTCTTTCAAAGGAAATAGGTATTTATTTTGGAGCCTATTTAAGTGACCATGGTCTGGGAACACAGATTCAGGCTACCCCAAGTTTCATGTTCCAGTATGGGAGCTTCATAGTTTCAGAGAACAAAGGAAGCCAGAAATCAGTCCTTAAATCGAAGTCTTCTGTGATGGCAATTCAGAGTGACTCCTTCCCTATGCGAAGAAGGATGGAGGGGAGAGTATGGATACGATGCGTGAGAGAGCAGCGCTGTGCTTGCCCAGGTTCTGACAAGGGGCTGTAAGGGTGGAGCTTACCAGTTCATTTTTGGGGACAGAGGACTAAGAAACCCCTGCTGATACATCTGAAGCTTTCCCCCTTAAATAAAATAATTAAAATTAGTAGCAATGTATAGACACTATGACTTTACATCACTGTTAATTCTCAGGATGCCTCAGACCACAGCTATCCAGAAAATGGGTGACCAGGGTGAGCATGGTGGCGTACCCCTTAATTCTGTCGCCTGGGAAGTTAAGACAGGAAAGTGACAAGTTTGATCCTAGCGTGGGCCACTTAGTGGGACTTTGTCTTTGAGGGGGGTTGACATAGTTTGGTTTCTGTTGTGGTGATAACACTAGGACCAAAATCAAGTCGTGGAGGAAAAGATTGATTTGGCTTTACAGCCTGATTCTAGTCCATCGTGGAGGGATAAAAGGGCAGGGACCTGGAGACAGGAACTGGAGCAGAGACCATGGAGGAATGCTGCCTACTGACTTGCTCACTTGCTTTCTTACACACTTCAGGACCACTTGGGATGGCACAGCTTCCAGTGGGGTGGGCCCTTCCATATCCATCATTTCTCAAGAAAATGTCCCTGAGATCTAACCCCCTGCCAGTCTGATGGAGGCAGCTAGGTGTGTCAGGGAACAAAAAGCGAACCATATGGAGAGCAAGGAAAGGGGGAAGGGAGGTGAGATTTAGTAATTAGGGAATAAATCAAGGCAATATATTTACTTAGAAGTTAAAATAATGATATAAGGAGTGATTAGTAATAACAAAACTTCCAGTAATATATGTCATATATGCATTAGTTTTCTAGTCAAACTTCATAAAGACAAATGAAAAGTCATCTTAATCCAGATGTTGCATGCAGGCTTATAATTTCAGCACTTTGAGGTGGAGGCAGGAGGCTCTTGACACACTGAGTATGAGGCCCGTCTGGAATACATAAATACATAGGAAGTAGGTTTTTATCTTTAAAATTAAATTTAAAGTGTACTGACATTTTCACTTATACAGTCATTTATAAGAGTTTTCTTACAATGTAATTTATTAACAGGTTATCTACAAGTAACTTATCATTTTCTTATCCGAATGATTCTTATTTTGGTCAGAGTCAGATCAGGCATTTTTACGTGACACATAGGAATTTCTCCCATTGTCTTTCTGAATCAAAGTGTATTAGACCTTGGAGCCTTTTAACAATTTGCATGCTTTTTTTTTTCTTTCAGTCTCCATTTTGGATTCTTAACATTCCCTCTGAAGATATTGCCAGAAACTTAATGAAACGGACAGTGTGTGCCAAGTAAGAGAAACCCCTTGTGTTGTGCTGCATGCCATACACGGGCTCACAACCACTCTCTGTTCTGTGCTGGGGAAGGAGGTAGAGGCTGGGAGGGTGGTTGTGGAGGGGGGATCATCTTAGCCTGAGTTACATGGATTTACAGAGTCCCCTTCTGGAGCTGAGGTGACGGACGCTTGCATGTGCAGTGGGAGGACCCTGGAATGACATACCCTTACATAGAATGAATATGGATATGAAGGAATGTTGCACTTGGTGTCACCGAGTCTTACAAAATCTAAAACTGCTTTCCTCATTTTCGATTTTCAGTTGATCAGATTAGTAAATTTAAATTTTTAAAATGTGGGAACTGTCATGAAGTATATTTGTTAGAGAAATGAGTTCTTTTTTTTGAGACGAGGTTCTCTGTGTGACTCTGGTTGTCCTGGAACTCACTTTGTAAACCAGGCTGGCTTCAAACTCACAGAGACCCACTTGCATGAGTGCTGGGGTTAAAGGTTTATACCACCACTGCCCAGTTAAGAAATGAATTCTAACAAGCATATTTTTTAATAAATTGTTCATTGATCATTCTTGTTTCTAGATTTTTATCTTTAACCTCCCTTATTTCCTTTTTCTTTAAATTTTCTTGATTGACACTTAGTTGCATTTTTCCCTGAATATAATGGCAGGTTATTGAAATATTTTTCCTTAGATTTTGTTTTTAATAATGGAGTGAAAAGAATATAGCAATGTTTTGTAATGTTATGGTATGACGGTCACCTCCATATTTATCTAACTTTTTCCTGTTGAGAAGGATGCATAATTCTAAATCTAATTTCTTAAATTTCAACTTGTTAAAGATCTTATTATTAAATATAAATGACTAGAAAATGGAAACAACAACAAACATAAAAACGACTATTTGTATGCCACTTTATTTTATGGTTGTTTGAAGTTTTTGAATTCCAGAAGTAAGGGATATTACATTTAAAATAGCTACTTGAGTACTCAAAACAAATATGTTGAAAGCTCATTTCTTTTGATGCATATGTTTGATAAGTAGTAAAAGGAATAATTGTATAATACTGTAAAATATATAACATTTTCCTTTTAGTTGTTCTTTATTTCTGTGGTTGAGCTACTCCTAAAGAAACTGCTAAGTAAGAGTAGCATTACTTGCTTTCTCTAAATTCAACAGAAGAGGAATTCACTTTCAAAGATAGTATATGCAACCTACAGATAATTACACTAGACTTACAAGGTCATATTAAAAACATTAAAAACAAAATTTTCTGAGGTTAAGTTAGGATTAAAATTGTTTTAGCAAGGATTTTTAGGAGATTTATTTGTGTATTTTTATTTTATATACATATCTGTTTGCCTGAATGTATACATGTGTGCAGATGCACTCAGAGGCCAGAAGATAGACTTGGATCCCTGGAACTGTAGTTATCGGTGGTAGTAAGTTGCTTGATGTAGGTGTTGGGAACCAAATTAGGTTTCCTGCAAGGGCAGCAAGCTCTCTTAGTCACTGAGCAATCTCTTCAGCCCCTTTAAAATGGAATATTTTGTATATTCCACAAAATGAAATATATATCAAACTCTTGGTACTCACTTTATTAGAGCTCAATGTTTTGAGTTACGTAGAAAATTTTAACAAATGATAACTAAATAGTAATGATAGGGTTTTTTTTTCTGCTTACCATTCCCCTTTTGAATGGGGAAAGTGTTGAGAAAATTTTTATTTTCTGCACCTTTTCTTCTAGTGCCATGCGATTTTGTTGCAATGTTTGTATTATCCAGTATAGTATATAGTAAAAAAGACATAGGTTATAGCTCAGTGGTTGACAACATGCTTACCACACATAAAACCCTGCGGTCAGTTCCTAGCCCCCCTCAAATATATACATATATATTTATGTATGTGGATAAATGCTGAAAAATTGGAAAACCCCTAACTTAATGTTGGATTTCCCATCTTTCATGTCAGGTTCAGCTTCTTTGTATGGTTTGGGGTTATATTGTTGTTTGTTTCCAGCATACGCATTTCTCATGAGTAAATGAGAAAACATGGCCAATGATGGTTTTATTGTAGCAAGCATAAAGAACTAGCAAAATAACTATTATGTATTGCTGTGTGAACTAAGTTCTTTACTGAGGTTAGTACCAACCATTTATTTCCTAGGTCTATATTTGAACTATGGGGTCATGGAAAATCTCCCGAGGAGCTGTATACTTCTCTTAAAAATTACCCTGTGGAGAAGATGGTGCGTAGTGAAATGTGATTTTATGTAGGCATGTGTGCCTGTTCTGTAGGATGCATACGCTTACAAAATTTATCTGCTTCTATTTTAGGTTCCATTTCTACATTCAGAGTCTACGTATAAAATAAAGATTCATACATTTAATAAAACATTGACTCAAGAAGAAAAAGTCAAACGAATAGATGTAAGTGAAATTAGCTGAACTGAAATACACTCTAGATGTGGATATATGTGAATGTGTAATGTCTGTTAAGGCTTCTATGTTGTGGTGTATATCTTGTGTAGTTGTGACATCAAACCCGCACAGCATGTATTACTAGATAAGCACTGTTTCCTATGATTCTTTTTTATAAATTCTTGTAGTACATTAGAATTTGCAGGCCGAGGCTGCTTGTTCATTCGCGACTGCCCAAACCTGGAATAATCACACAGAAAATATATTAACTGCAATACTGTTTGGCCAATAGCTTGAGCATATTTCTACCTAGCTCTTACATCTTAAATTAACCCATTTGTATTTTTTTTTTTTATTTTACCATGAAGCTTGTGGTTTACTGGCAGGCAGGAGGGATGTCTTTCTCCTCCAGAGGCTGCATGGTGTTTCCCTGACTCTGCCTACTCTCCCTCTCTCTCTTTCTCTGTTTGCATTTTCCACCTGACTTTACTCTGTTAAGCTGTTGGCTGAAAACAGCTTTTTTTATTAACCAATGACAATAAAACATATTCACAGCATACAAAAGGGAATGACACACCACCTCCCCTTTTCTATCTAATAAGAAAGGAAGGTTATAACTTTTAACATTCAACAAAATAGTTATCAACCAAGAATTACAGTTACAGTACTTAGATCTACTTTATCTTTTATCATAACTAAAGAAAACTATAAGTACAACTATCTAGTTTTCAACTCCATCAAAGACCCCAGAAGGATATAATATCACCTAAGTTAACAGGAAGTACATTGTAAGCAACTTCCAAAACTCTAGAATTGACAGAGACATCTCGCTGCCTGGACAGTCACCCAAAATTCCTCTGTACTGTTAGGGCATCCATCTTCAGCCTCCAGGCCCAAAGTATCCAGCAGACTTTTCCATGAAGCAGGAAATTTCAAAGAGAGTTCCACCTATATTGGCAGTTTGTCAGTCACTTTCTTCTGTGTCCTGTTTCTAGAATGTCTGGCACACTCTTTTATGAAGCAGGAACCCCAAAGAACTGTCTCACCTTTAGGCAAGTTTAACAGTCGTTTTTCTGTGGGTCCTGCATGTCTAGTTCATACAGCATAACATCAAGCAGTCCAGGCAAAAGCAGTTTCTTGCCCAGATGGCTAATCAACTCAATGAGGAGCCTCTTCGATGCCTATCGTCCTCTTGAAGTAATTGGTGCTGCCAGGAGCAGATGTGTCTCATTGTCATGAAAAGTCCTAAGTTTTTAAAACATTTTAAATACCATAATCTGTAAGTCTTTGAAAGATTTGAAAAATAGCTACCCTGAAATAAATCTCTGTATATCTAGAAAACCTAACTAACATGATTACAAGCTTAATTTTATAGATGACTATCTATTAACTTGTATTTCTTAATTATGCATTGCATTTTTAAATGAGCTGCACTAATACAATATTTTAATAACAAAATTGACCTTAAATTTGTATCAATTAGACCAAGATATATATCAGTGCAAAGTATTCATCTCTATAGCATATCCATCTTTAAATGTAAACAAACATTTATAAACAATATTTGGGAATTTGGGCATAGTTCTATCCTAACTGCTTCCTGCTTTTTGTTGGGCTAAGAATTTTTGGTGGTTCACAGATACCTTTCAGGGCTTCTTGTTCCATCAAATCACATTAGTCTGAAAGGAATCCACAGGTTCTCATCTTTTTTGGAAACAAAAGCAGACCCTCTTTTTCCAAAGCAACATATTTTTAGACCCAAATTTTGAAGTCCAGATACCTTTAAAACATATATATTGGTTTAGCTTAGCAGCCCCCAGAATCAAATGTCTCTCTGTATTTAGCTTATTCACAGTCAAAAAATTAAAAAAAAAACCACAATATTATACATAATTCAGACTCTCTGTGTGTATTCCATCTTTACATGGCTTATTTTTCTTAACTCTATTAGTTTTTCTGCAAGTTTTATGGTTATTATCTTTACTCCTTTAATGACTGTACCCTTTTATATTATAAGTGTCTATACTCTTTTTCCTCTTTCCCCTAAACCTATGTACATTTATCCAACACTGTGACCCATTTAGAGGTCCTTTTTATTTTAATTTGTATTAATTGTGTGTGTATCTGTAATTAATTTTTGACCAGGAGCGCTTTTTTAAATGTTAAGCATCATGGCTAAAACTAAGGCTGCTTTGCCTTTGGCTCCACCTAGTCCAACATGACAGAGGTTCTTTCAGCTCCAGCTTTGCAAGCCATGCTCACAGCCCCATTTTGAGACACACAGTGGGTCTGTGCTGCCATTAATCAATTTGTAGAACTCTGCTCACAAACTCCATTCAAATTATTAGTCTCCTGAAAGAGTTGGAATCTTCCTTCTTTTATGCTGAGTTGGTAAGCCTTTTTTTTTTCTATTTTTTAAATTGATTTTATTGAGCTATACATTTTTCTCTGCTGCCCTCCCTGTCTCTCCCCTCCCCTTCAACCCACTTCCATGGTCACCATGCTCCCAATTTACTCAGGAGATCTTGACTTTTTCTACTTCCCATGTACATTAGATCCATGTATATCTCTCTTAAGGTCCTCATTGTTAATTAGGTTCTCTGGCATTGTGATTTGTAGGCTGTTTAATTTTGCTTTATGTATAAAAGCCACTTATGAGTCATGGTGCCTCTGCTTGCTGACATCAAACAGCCCATCTGAAAAAAGTCGTTCTTACCTCCGTTCTTTTGTGTCTAGAATTCCTTTCCAAGCTTTCTCAGGTTTTATGTGGATGTAGTTGACTGCATTGATGCCATTCTGTTTGGCCATTCTCTTAAAGGGTATTGACTGAAGGAGTTTCCAAAGCAAGAATTACCTTTTCTTTTCTTTTTTTTTTTAGGCCCTTGAATTTCTGCCATTTGAAGGAAAAGTGAACCTAAAGAAACCACAGCATGTATTCTCTGTTTTGGAGGACTATGGTTTGGACCCAAATCGCATCCCTGAGAATCCACATAATATTTATTTTGGTAGATGGGTAAGCAAGTTCTTTCCACCTATCTTCTTTCTTTGAAAGCTAAATGCAAGGTGGGGATGGGGGATCAGTGGTAGAGCTCTGGTCAAAGCAGATACCATGCCTACCTTTGTATTTGATTTTTTTTTTGTTTGTTTGTTTTTTTGAGACAGGGTTTCTCTGTAGCTTTGGTGATTTTTTTTTAATATGTAAAAATGGAAGCAACTGGAATCAGAACTACTTTATTTTTAAAATTGCTGAAAAGCATGTGATTATAATTGGTATTTTTCAGAGATTCCTGTGAAACATACGGAGCTTGTTAGAGACACGACCTAGGAAATGGAGGTTACACCTGATGGTGGAAACAAGATTTCCCAGAATGTCAGGGGTACTGTTTTAGTGAGACAGAGAGAGGGCAGAGTGCTGGGCTGGTGCAGTGTCTCTCATGAAAACCTCAAACCTGTGTCTTCCATTCTGAGGGGAAATGGAGTTATAGAAGTGCCTGCTTACTGTCGTGAGGCTGGATAGGTGAATGACAGCTGAGAGCCATGTTATGGATGCTTGTCATTTCAGAGAAAGAGAAAAGGGTGGTGAGAAAACTCAAGACCATGCCCTTGAATAATTATATTTAAATTTGATTCCTACTTGGTTTGAAAGCACAAAGTAGGTGGAAAGGCATTAGAGAAGTAAAAAGATTGACTGTAATGGTCTCAGTCCTGTGATTTTTGAAGGATTAAGTTTAGAACAGTAATGAGTGGGAAAAAGTTCTCATTAGCAAGGTGCTATCATTTTTATTGTGAATAATTATCTTGAGTCTGTTCTGTATAGCTAGATTAACTTTAAAAAAATCTCTGATCTAGATTGCAGATGGGCAAAGAGAGCTAATTGAGTCATATAGTGTCAAAAAGAGACATTTTATTGGAAATACAAGTATGGATGCTGGCTTATCGTTCATCATGGCCAACCATGCAAAAGTGAAAGAAAATGATGTTGTCTTTGATCCATTTGTTGGAACAGGTATATAAGTCTATTTGTTACACTAATGCATAGATTTTGCTTATTTATAGCAGTGAAGGTTATAGTATGCTTTGGATGAGAGATTGACTTGACAAACTTTTCTTGTGTAATAGCTCATATTTAACACTTTGTCATTTGATGGATGTGACTAAAATATTGTGGGTTTTATTCCAAGTAAGCCACTGGGGGGAGCATCAGGCTTATTTTTTCACAGATGTCTTGCAGCATATCATATCTTGTAGAGATGTATAGAATCATAGTATTTATTTAATTGGGAGAACTTTTACGGAAAGAATAAAAAACAAAGCAGAAAATACTCATGCTTTTAAATAAATAGCCATGTATTTGGATAGAGGAAAAACATATCTTTGATTCTGTTTGTGGGAGTTTTTGAGTAAGTGTGAAACTAAAGGTGACTAAGTCTCCATAGTCTCGAGACTGCTTGCTGACACCAAAACCCACGTTCTTCTGAACTTCGCTGAGATGCTCTCCTTTTTAAGTCTATGGAAAGCCTGAAATTCCAAGTTGAATTCATCTGATTCTGACGTTTCCCTTTTCTCAGACTGCTTTCTTGTTTGATGTAGCCCGTAGGCAGGCAATACTCTTATTTACATTTTATCTGACAAAACCCCCTGTTGTTTAGTTAGTGTCACCACAGCCATCTTGGGAGCAGTGGAGATGCAGGGTCAGTGCCTGTTGAGTCTGTGGGTCAGTACTATATTGTTCTCTAATCCTGATGACAGCCAGCATGAAGACACTTTGAAGTCTTCCTGAGGAAATTGTGATGCAAGGGGAGGCTATGTGACATGGTCAGGGTTACCCAGTATATCGCTTTTGCCATCAGACTCCCGTAGTTCATGTAATTGTTGCTTCTGCAGAACTGTCTCTCTCTGTATAAAGTTTACTGGCCACTACTTGCACCTAAATTAACTTCAGGAGTGTGGCCAAATGTGATTAGGAAGAAGTGGCATCTGGTCTAGAGTTCCTAGGGGTGGAAGAAATTTTTGTAATTTGTTTTGAGCTAATTCACCAGTGCACTTTCTGGCATGTTTCCGTGGACCCCTCTCTCAGTATGCTAGTTTGTTCTTCTCTACCTTCATTTCCCTAAACACATTCTCACATTTTGAGCTTGCTAATGGAACCAATATCAAGTTTACTTACAAATTATAAGAACAAATAATATCCATATATCCAATCCCAGTTTAAGCTCTTGTTAATATTTGGCTTCTTTTACCTTATTTTATTTAATTTATATTTTTTCTTGAATCATTTGAAGGTTACATTTACTTTGTTTTTTAAAAAATTTATTTATGTTTGGCCTTACATGTAGTCTGTTGACGGTGTTGGATCCACTTAGAACTGGAGTTACGGGCAGTTGTGAGCCGTCATGTGTGTGCTAGGAACTGAATTGGGTCCTCTGGGAGGTCAGCCAGTGCTCTTAACCCCTGAGCATTGCATGTTTTACCTTCCTCTCTCAAACACATCAGTATATATTCTTAAGAAAAAGAATTATATATATATTTGCATTTATCTATTTATATTCTGCAGTTGGGTGTTGTGTTTTACTGTTAAAATCATTTTGATTTGGAACATTTTTAACACTTTTAAGATTAAAATAGTTTTCATTTGAGTGGCTTGAATTTCCTTAGAATGGATTATTCATTCCCACTAGAGATGTTGTGTCCTTAAGGCTTGCATACCCTGCTTCTCCGCCTCAGTATTAATACTAATTTTTTTCAGCATGGTACCAATTGAATTTGATTTCCATATGTGATGATTAGTTACTGTTATATTTTATATTCTTGCAGTTAATCTAAAGCATTTGTGGGAGATACATTACGAGTTTGTAAATATACTGCTCCTTATCCAGGTGTCTCTTCATCTTGTCAAGTCAGATTTAGCATCCAGTGTCAAGATTCTTGTTTCAATCAGTCTTTTCCTTGATGATTTTTCCACTTTAGCACTTCTTCTCTTTCTGTTGCTAATTTCACTTATTATCAACAGGAACTACTAAGTCTGTCCCTTTGTGTCAGGTGATGTAAAAGTCCTGATCCCCTTCATTATTAGCTATTAGCCATTGGGCCAATTCGCTGTGAGCCTGGCTCTGCCTACCCCTTTCACACCGAGTCTGTCTTTGTGACTTGTCACTTTTTTTTCCCCCTTAGAGAACTTTTAAAATTGTCATAGTAGGGGAGGAAAAGGATTGTGCTCTTGATGCAGTTGAGCCTAGGAGTATTGTGAAATTCCACTTCACAGCAGTCGAGGTGCTGGCTACCTTGTGCGTGGTGAGGGGTAAGGATACCTGGCTCCCTGCTGTGCACGGCTCCCTGCTGTGGACGGGCCATCTCACTACTCACACAGAAGAGGAAGGTCAAGTGATAGGTGAATCTTTAGAAGATATACCACGAAAATATATTCTCACAATCCGTGTTTATGGTTTAGATTTGGCTTTAGGATATAAGTCAGTTTTTGACACTTCTAACTTTAAACTGGTTATAACCCCTAATTTTGAACAGAAACCTTCAAGGGTCATTGGTTTCCTCATGGAACTGATTCACAGACAGCTTGTGTCCTGGAAAGGACTAGACGAGTAGCCCTGTGACTTCTCCAAGCCCATAGGTTTTCTATCCTCTTTGATGATGGTTTTACCTTTGATTTCCATATATTAGATTAAGGTCTCTTTTGTTGTTGTTGTTTTTAATTCAAGTGTGACTCTTTTAATGGTCCAGACCGAAATGTGTGCAGTTTCCCAAATGAATTAATATTGAACTAGTCATGGCTGCGGTTGTTCTCAGGGCTGCAGAGCAGGTTGATATCTTTTCTTGCTGAAACATCTTTCCCTTTTCTTTTAGACAGTTTGCTGCTGCTTGGAGTTATATTCTGACCTGCAGAAATGCACTTTTCTTTCTGTTTTGGCAAATATATTCTCATTTAAGTCACCTTTAAAATATTACATTTTTTCATTTTCTGAGTAGAGAGGAAACATCCCATTGGGTCCACTCTCGGTGGTCAAAAAGTACACTATTAAGGTTAGCATGAAAATATACAACAACTATGTTGGTGTGAACTATTATGAACTGGATACATAGTTTTACCTAATTTGCTTAGTAAAACAATTTGCTTCTATTTTATCTAGCTGGTATGCTAATAAACTTTCTGTTACTATAACGAAATACATGATAGAATTTACAAAGAAGAGAGTTTATTTTTTGCTTTTTACTTTTAGGTAGGCAGACCATTGCTTGTAGGCTCTTGTTTGATGTCAAGACAGTGTTAAGGGACACAGAGTAGAATTGGCTGCTAATCTCATAGCCAAGAAGCAAAAGGAAGGTCTGGGTTCTATAATCCTCTTCATTAGAGTAACCCTGTTGGCTAAAGGCCCTTCTTCTAAGCCAGACAGAGTTCCGATAGAACCACCATGAGGACCAACACTTAAGCATACTCATCTGTGAAGGGCATTTGACAGCTAAATCTATACCAGTAATTTAGTCCAATATAAACTAGTGTATTTTTTTAACTTCAATTGGTGCTGACCTAGACGAGATACTAGAGTATAAAGAAAAGCATATATAGTGTGAGTTTACTTTCCCAACAAGGTGACTTTGGACAAAATTCTTGTGTAGATTGCAGTTCTGTCATTGTAAATTGGCCATAGTAATATGTTATAAAGATTGAGGGAGGTAATGTATGCATATAATGTTAGAATGTTATTTGAAAACTTGTAGACCTTCAGTGGACTATGCTACTATCATTATTTAATTTTTATTTTTTATGGACTTGGATACTTTTTGGTAAACATGTTAGATATAGCTAATACTAAATGATGATGAAGAGTTTGACTATGAACTCATTTTCTAGTCCCCTCTTGGGTTGATTTCCAAAATATTTGTAAACTGCTGCTATTGCAGCAGCAAAGGGATTACAGCTTAAATTTGCAAATGTATAATTTTTTTATAATTAAAATGATTGAGATGAGTTGTGTTCACTATTTTATGTGGCCTAGAGCTCTGAAGCCATAGCTTTGACTTTTCTCAAGTACTAAGAGTCCACCCAAGGGAGATCCTAGGTGCAATGAAAATCCTACTGCTCCTTTTGAATCTTGTCATTTCAAGAATGACAGACTGCGGTCCAGGTGAGGATGGTGACTTGGTCCTGAGAGGAAACTGTAGGATGGAAAAGAGGACTGGGAGGTAGTTCTCAGTAGATCATTACAGTGTTTTCTGCGTTACAGTAGTTCATAGTTCTTTGTAGTTTCTTTTCCTAAATCCTATAGTTGGTCTAGGTGTGTTGCTGTCTTTGGCAGTATTCTAGTGCTAGGACTGCTAGTTCATTTAGAGAATTTAGAGTCCTTTTTTTCAGAGGGATAAAACAGATAGAGTGAAAAGTAATGGCAACAGAATTGCCAACCTCTTTTTCTTTTACCCACCCCTCTAGCAAAACCAAAGACTAGTTTCACATTTCCTCAGTTTCAAAGCTTTCCCCTTAGCCCTCCAGAGATGAAACTCATAAATTAAGTTATATAGTATGGAATAAATTCCACTCATTGTATTCTTTTTTTTTTTTATATTACATTAACCTTAAAACAGTTACTGTGTAAGTAACAAGAAACTGAAACATTGAGTGTTAGTCTACCTCCCGTTTGTGGTATTCATATTTTACTTTGGATAGCGAAAATGGGCGAGTCGTTCTCCTGCCTTCTCAGCACAGCACCCTCTGTTTTTACTGCCTATCTGCCCGAGAAAATTCCACGGAAGGTATAACAAAATACGAAAACTGCTGTAACTGAAAGAGCAATAGATGCCTGATAGTGATTATCCAGTGAACAATTCAGAGAAACCAATTGATTATAATTTTATTTTTAAAAAGTTAAAAGCTTAAAAAGCCACCAGGTAACAGGTGAGTCTAACAGCTTATTCATCTCCTTTCAGCAGTGTACTGTAAATTGAGTCTTCTCAAAAGTCCCTCTAAGCAGTGGATAAGGTTCTGTTTAAGGAAGCACAGGGAAGCTTTTCTGTTCCCATGACTACTAGTTCTTCTAGGTGAGTATCTGCCTTGATGGGCAGAATTGTAGCAATGCCTTGTGATTAGGGTGAAGTGACCTTGTGAGGCTCACACGCCTCACACAATACTTAGTACTTTTCTGACTACGGGCCATCCCGTCTCTAGACCAAGAACTAGGAGGTCTCTTTTACACTGCATCTCACAGATGCTTCAGGGGTTAGCGTGAGAAGACCTAGGGTTTGCTTTCTACTGCGCTTTGAGGCCAGCATTCATCAAGGGAAACAGTAGGAAACTAGTTAGTGTATTTTTGGAATACTCCTCCCTGACTATTTTTAAATTGCTGTAGATATGCAATTTGTAAATCTTGACCCCATGAAGGCATTCAACATCATATATTTTAGAGGTTACATTTTAAAAGGGTGGGAAGGAAAACCCTAGAGTTTGCCCTTTGTCCAAGGTTGTGTGCAACTTATAGTCTAAAAGCGAATTTCTCATTTCCACTCCGCTGTCATCTTTCTGTATTGTAATTGGGGACTGGTCAAGCACGAAAAGCATTTTGAATTTGAGTACATAAAAATGTGGAGTTTAATAAAAAATAATTACTATATTTTATTTGAGTATGAAATTTTCTGAAAATTTTAAAAATATTTGTTTTTATTTTAAGGCATTTCATTTTTAATTGTTAGAACTTTTCCTTCATATTTGAACTGGTCACATCTGACATATTCCTTAGTCTGGTCAGTTTATATTGGAACATTATTTTTACTTTAGCCATAGCACTGTTTAATGGAAAAATGATATTAGCTGGATAGGTTACTCAGAAATTCATATGTGTAGTGTATACTAAGAGATAATTACATGACAGGCCATGTTTTAGCTTCTAAAAGTTAGTATTGCATACGTGAAATATGTTCACTTTAGTTTTCTGAAATTCAAACCCAGTTTTTAGTTTATTTTAAATCTTTGTGTTTACAGACCGGCATGTTCACATTGAAAAGGGAGCAAAATGTTTTTTTAATAATCTAAGGTAATCTTTCCAGGTGGGCTCCTGATTGCGTCTGCTCACTTTGGCGCTTATGTGTGTGGGACGGACATCGACTACAACACGGTTCATGGCTTGGGTGAGTAGAACTTACAGTGTTGACGTCTTTGTTGTTAAGCCAAATGGTCCTTTAAAATAATAGTTTTATGTGACATTCTAGTGTTTGAAGCACAGCATTTTAGTGTAATTTTACCACAAAGCTTCCTTGAGTGTCTCCATTTTATGGCATTATTACTCAGGGTGTGCAAGGTAAACTAGAAGATTATTAAGATGAATAGAAAAACATCTCACCATCCCCAGTCAGGAACTTGTCATCCTAATAAGAGAAGTTTTGTTTTTTCTTTTATGTTTTTTAAATGGCAAACTGAGTTGGGCAGTGGTGGCGGACGCCTTTAATCCCAGTACTCAGGAGGTACATGCTGGCAGATTTCTGTGAGTCTTGAGACCAGCCTGATCTACAGAGTGAGTTCCAGGACAGACTCCAGAACTACAGAAAAACCCTCTCTTAACCCTGGTTCAGTTCCCAGCATGCACATGGCCGCTCACACCTGTCTGTCACTCCAGTTCCAGGGCTTCTGACACCCTCACATACATGCACACAAAATGAATGTAAAAATAAATTTTAAAAAAGAAAGAAAACATAGGTAGTCTCTATTTAAGATTATCATCATTGATTTACTTGGCAATCATGCTGTGAGTATAGGTTGGATTAATATTTAGTTTTTGAATAACATTTAAAAATTTAATTTTTTTTTTTGTGATCAGGACATGCTTGAAACACTTGAGGTGTCTACAAATGTAAAGGTTCTGCCTTTAAATGAGGGTAACTTGAAACATGAGCCACTTTGATTTTGTGGCAGTTACGGAAAATACCTAAAAATTGGAAAGCTTCACTAATGGTCTGTGATTGGATAACATTAAATCAGAGTGAAAAAAGTATATTTCTCATAATGGGGTAGTATTAAAATTACCAAATAAATTCATGCTTTTGAAATTGTTTGCCTCTGTGCTAATATTCCTCTATTGTATCTTGAATGAGTTCTTAAACAATTTCCTTCATGCAGTGTAGGTTAAAGGTGAGGTTTTATTATACTTTCTGTTGCTGAAGCTGTTGTGTGCAGAATTAATAGCTTGTTACACTATGTCTTGAGTCTTAAGGAGCTTATAGTTTTGAATATTTTTCATGAATGGGCGATTTAGAAAAAGATACTCTTTGTCTCAGACTAAGTAAAATGCTGGGACTTGCTCTAGCTTATTGCGAGTAACACAATACATTGCTTTAAGGAAATTATACCACACAGATTTTAAGACATTTTTTTTTTATTAAAGTCTTGAAAAGTTATTTCATACCCTTAAGTCTACCGGGAGTAGATTTCTAGTTGAGGAGAGTTTCTTAGGGAGTATCCTGTTGCTAGGTATGTCCTTTGCTCCCGGTTTCTGATCTCTTAGGTTATACAGTATGGTCGTTTCATGTTTTTTCCAGTTGGGCAGCTAGAAGCCTTTCCTGTCAGTCTTATAGGGTCCCTTTAGCTGTATTTTCCTTTTGCCCACATGCCTGGAAACCTGCTGTCTGCTTTCAGTCTCACTTTCTCATCGTCTGTGACCTTGAGCACCTGTGCCCACCATTTAGCCCAGAACGCCCACAGTGGCTCTCTGTTCTGCAGTGTTGACTGTCATGAGCCTTCCTTCTTTCCGGGATGTGTTCTCACTGGGTGCTGCTTTTACTCTTCTGACAGTTTTATTTCATTCTCTTTAAGACCAGGGTTTTCTTTCATTTCTCTTCACATACTATTTTTTTTCTCTTGGCATCCATTTTTTGTTTGTTTGTTTGGCTGTCCAAAGGTTTTTATTTTTGGCTGTCCTGGAACTCTCTGTAGACCACACTGGCCTTGAATTCAGAGATCCACCTGCCTCTGGTTCTGGAGTGCTGGGATTAAAGATGTGTGTCACCACTACCTGGCCAGCATCCATTTTTTAATCCCTGTTTCTATCATATTGAATGCTGTTTGGAGTTTTTCATCTTCTTGAATTTCTTTTTAAGTTTTGTTTTACTGTAAAGTTGATCATAATACAAAAGTGTATAGTTGCTGGGCATGGTGGTACATGGCTACAGGAGGCAGAGGCAGGAGGGTTTCTGTGAGTTCCATCCTGCCTCAAGAATAAGAGTAATACTAGAGCAAGCTCTTGGGTAGCTGGCACCTAGGCTGAAATTTATTCATTCTCACCAGTTCCACTTGTTTAAATACTGATGGCTCCAAGTGTGTATTCCAGAGTTCAGCTACCCGATGATTCTCTCTTTCAGCTAGTGCCATTTTCTGGTTGTGTGTATGTGTAGTGTGTGTGTGTGTGTGTGTGTGTGTATGTGTAATGGGTATGGTGTGGTATGTGTATGGGGGTGGTTATATATCTCAGATTTGACTATTAAGCTGTTTTTTTTTCTTTGGGTTTCTCTAATCTTATCACTGGCATGATTATCATCTTCCCTTTAGGTCTCTTATGTGCTAAGCTTTTGAGCTTCTTCATTTTTTCTGTGTACACTGATTTTTCATGAGTAATTTTTCCATTTGTCTGCCTTCTTCATGGTCAGAGCTGCTGTGTTTCACAAGTTAGCATTCTTCATTTCTGTTTCATTTATCTGATCAAACATTTTCAACATGAACTCTATTCTTGTAAGATAGGTTCATGTTCTACTCACTTATGTAGCTTACTGGTGAATACTTCATACTTGGAAAGTGTTGGTCGTTTTAATAAGGTGCATTTTACTGTTCAAAATAATAAGGTGAAATATTTGCTTAATTGTGTGCATACAATTAAGATTACAAACAAACACACATTTTATGTAGGTAAATGTGGGTTTGCATGGGCATAAAAGTATTTTCGGCTAAACTAAAGAAAAGAATGATGCTCTGTTTGATGGAATAATTTTCTACCTTCGCTTTCTTTCTCTTTAGGAAAAGCTAGTAGAAAAAACCAGAAATGGCGAGGACCAGATGAAAACATCAGGGCAAATCTTCGTCAATATGGCTTAGAGAAGTTTTATCTTGATGTCTTGGTTTCAGATGCCTCCAAGCCTTCCTGGAGGAAGGGAACGTATTTTGATGCAATCATCACAGATCGTGAGTTTATTTTCTACAAAGTAGGAAGGGGGTTAGTTTTCTGAAATTGGTACATTTTAAGTATAAATATATCAACACATGAGAAACGCCCACTTGTACTAGGGTTCTTCCCACTCTTCTTCAAAATCAATATAAAAATTATGACGAGAAAGCAGGTTGTTAATTTTAGTACTTAAGGGTTTGTAGTTTCATTTTAGCAAATACATTTATTTCCTGTCTGTACATAATTTGCCATCCATTTTCCCTCCCATTTGCTGGCCATCAGTGTATCAACTAGAGCCAGTGTTGTTTGTGGTTTCTGTGTCAATCTCTGGGCTTTCAGTGATCTTCCATTTAGGTGAGCCTCCCTCTATAGCACCTGTTTTCACCAGCATCTTCTTTCTGGACATAGAGAGTGGGGTTGTGCAAACTGCTGGGCTCCTGCACCAACTAGCTCTAGAACACTACATGAAAACTTAGGTTCTGTGCTCGTGAATCGTCTGCATTTGGGGCGCCTTGTCAAAACAGATGTGCCTTTTTCACAGGGTTGCTAATAATCTTTGTAAAAATTTTTGTAATTAAAATCTTGGTAGTAATTGGTAAATAATGCAAAGTTAAGACCTTTTGTCTCAGCCATTTTTTGTTCTTTGCCTTAGAGGATTTCAAATCTAACAAGAAATTTCTTACAGCATTAAGATGCCATTGTGAATATACATTATGACAATTTGGAACCTTTTATTATTTACTGTTTTTTTTCTCCCAGTATGGTATTTTTCTTCCAATACTTTATTGTCGATTTTCTGAGAAAAACGATAGTATCTTAGCCACAGTATGTCTGTCTGTCTGTCTGTCTGTCTGTCTATCTATCTATCTATCTATCTATCTATCTATCTTGTTTTGTCGATACAGGGTTTCTCTGTGTAACAGCCGTAGCTGTCCTGGAACTAGCTGTGTAGACCAGGCTGGCCTCAAACTCACAGAGATTTCCCTGCCTCTGCCTCCCAAGTGCTGGGATTAAAGGTGTGCGCCACCACCGCCTGGCTTAATGGTTTTATTTTTCATTTTTCTTTTTTGATTAGCAATCAACTTTACTAAGTTGACACAATAATCAACAGTTTGTTAGCCAGTTTTGTCAGTTAAACCACAAATATTATGAACTACTTTTTCCCTTGAATTCAGGATTTACTTCAGAGTCAGACATTGCATTTAATAATTTCTGGGCCTTTGTTACTTAACAGTATGTCCACAACCTTATTGTGTCTTTATATTGTGGAGATTTTTGAAGACAAAGTTGTCCCTTCCTGAGCATTTTTTGTTAAATATTTTCGGGTGGAATGATGCATGGGTGATGATTCTTTCCATCCGTGGATATCACATTTGATCACCTGTGATGTATACCTGTCCCTCATTGGCGATGGGCTGACTTGACTGTCCTGCTGTTTTTTCCTGCCTAGCTCCATATGGTATCAGAGAATCTACAAGAAGGTCAGGTTCACAGAAGGAAATACCAAAGGGAATAGAAAAGTGGTAAGTGAAATTTAAATGTAACGAATTATCACTTTGAAAAACTTATTGATTTTTTCTTTTATAATTACTGTGAGCAATTTTAAACTTTTTACTGATTTTGTAATATTTGTTCTCTGTTAGTCCAGAAAGCCACGTTCCTGTCTCCTTGAGTTATCATCTGAGTGATATGTTTTTTGACCTGTTAAACTTTGCAGCTGAGACCCTCGTACTGGGTGGAAGACTAGTCTATTGGTTACCAGTATATACACCAGAGTATGTAGTCTTTATTTTTAATGTTATTTTCTATTGTACTTGCATGCTTTAATCATCCTTGGTTTTTTATCTCTAACTTTGCTCCTATTTTTATATTTACTGTTTATCAGTAGCCTTGGTTTGTTTGTATACTAGTCCAAAATAGTCCCCTTCCTCTTATTAGTTGGGTGCTTTTGAACTTTTAATGTAAGGTATTGGCCAAACCACCACCTTTGGGACAGATATGCTTTTCATACTGTTTTTATATGGTGATTGAGCATAACTACTTTTTTACATTTTTTTAAAAACTAATTGTTAGAAAACTCACAAAAATGTACCAGAAAATCTGGGCATAATAGTATGTTTGTTATCTTGGAAGGCATAGCTGGGAGGTCAGAATTCAAAGTCAACATGGCTACCTCTTGATTTTGAGGTTAGTCTAGGCTATATAATATTTAAAAAAAAAAATAGTTGGTGGTCCTCGGACTTCCCACAGGTCAGGGAACCCTGATTGCTCTTTGGGCGGATGAGGAGGGGGGCTTGATCGGGGGAGGGGGACTTAATCGGGGGGAGAGGGAGGGAAATGGGAGGCGGTGGCAGGGAGGAGGCAGAAATCTTTAATAAATAAATAAATAAATTTAATAATAAAAAAAGAAATATATGTACCTACAAAATCTAAAATATTTGCATTTTGGCTCTTTGCCTGAAAAGTTTGTCAACCCTTTTGCTCAGTGTCTGGTATATTATATATCATAGATGTTTAGTAGCTGCTGCCTAATCGCAAAACACAAATCATTTTCAGAAATGTCCCTGAGTAACTCCTATGCCTGTTATTTCTAGTACTGGCTTTCTTACCTGCCTCTTATGACTACCTTAAATGCAATAAATATTTTCAACAACCTAAAACCAAGATAAAACATATGCATATATTTAAAGCTGTTTTATGTTGAACATGATTGGCTTTGTTCCTCCATAACTGGCAACTGTTGAATAGAGCTGTGTGCATCGATGAAGAGAAGGTGTCTGAATAAGATGTGGTATTAAAGGGGCCTGGAGAGAGGTTCAGTCGGTAAAAGTATGCCATCAAGCCTGGTGATTGGAGTTCAGTCATTGGGACCTACATAGTAGAAGGAGAGAATTGATTCCCATGAGTCATCCTCTCTCTCTGTCTCTCTCTCTCTCTCTGTCTCTCTCTCTGTCTCTCACACATACACACACTTTTTAAAAAAGGATAAGTTCTTAAGTTAATATTTATTTATTTATTATTTATATAGTATTCTGTTTGCAATGCCTGCAGGCCAGAAGAGGGCACCAGACCTCATTACAGATGGTTGTGAGCCACCCTGTGGTTGCTGGGAATTGAACTCAGGACCTTTGGAAGAGCAGGCAGTGCTCTTAACTACTGATCCATCTCTCCAGCCCAGTTCTTAAGTTTGAAAGACAGTATTAACATTATGGTTTAGTTATTTCTTTAACTTGCCACAGAAATCTTTTGAAAGGTATTAAGTATTTTAATACTTGTCTGTTCAATATATATTTGTTCAAAAGCAGTTAAGGACACTGGTAGCAGTGGTGGGTTAGGTACCTCAGGATTTGGAAGGTGTATAGCTTTTGCTTATTTTATAAACATTTATTTGAAGTGACTTTGGCCTAGCTTTAGTTATGCATTTGTTTATCAGTTGATTAGTATATGTATCCAGATTACTTAACACTGGCTTTATGTTTAGAACACTTGTTGCTCTTACAGAACACCTCATAACTGTACCTCTAATTCCAAGGGATCAGACGACTGCTTTTGGCCTTTGTAGCCACTAGGCACACACATGCTACACACACACACACACACACATACACACACGCACACTCACTCATAATAATCTAAAAAAATGTAATTTAGCCTCTTTATTTTAGAAAACAAGGAAAATTGTTTTCAAGAAGTACCGTGAGTTACCTAAATTTTCAAAGCTGCCCAGCTAATTGCATTTCTTATTCCCAGTGGTGTATCCTGCTGTCTGGTCTGTGCAGCTATAGATAGGGATTTATTACAATTTTCAGGAGAGCATTTGCCCACTTATATGTGAAATGGTTGTTACATTAAACAGTGTTTTCTAAAATGTGCTTCCCCACCCCCCGAAAGCGCACGGTTTTTGCTGGCAGTCTCGTGGGCACTCCAGCCACCTCTTTGTTTTTTTTTTTTTTTTTTCTGCTAAATGCTACTTGAAAATCTTGTATTTACTTGCTATTTCTCAGCACTTTCTCTTCTACCTGTGGCAGAAAGAAGTGACTTTTGTTTTAATTCAACTTGCAGTCCTTCCTTTAATTAAAAAACATTCTGAAAGACTTCTCAAATGTACAGAAAACGTTACAGTATAGTACAAAAAGCACTGATTTTCTGTCCCATGCACACACACACACACACACACACATATATATATATTAGCATAGATGGCCATTCCTCTATTCTGTATACACCCATTATTATTAATCTCTTTTTGTGTGTTTGTTTTGTGTTGTTTTTGAGGCAGGATCTCCTGTTGCCCAGGATGGCATTGAACTCCTCGTCTTCTTTCTCTGCCACCTGAGTGCTATGATTATATAGGTATGCACTCCTATATATGGCTACATTACTGAGCCCATGTGAAAAGTTAGGAGCGAATGCTCTCTTCCTACCCTGTATCCATGATTTTACCTTCCTGTCTGCCACCAACTCTGCTGTAACTGGAAATCACATTGGGAATGGCTGTGCTGTCTGTTCCTGGGAGCCTTTCAGATTTTCCTGGTCTGAGTTCTTCCAGGAAAATGTGCAATCTTACCTTTGCAGTGTCTTCAGGTCAAGGTGTCTCTCAGCCTTTCCTTATCGTTATTGTCATGGAAGTTCTATAGTTTTATAGTGTCCATAACCAGTATTTTTGGGTTGACCCTTGTTTCTGTTGTTTTTCTATTGCTGTGAAGAGACACAATGACCAAGGCAATTCATAAAAGAAAGCATTTGATTTGGGGGCTCGCAGTTGCTGGGGTTAGAGTCCATGATTATTAAGGTGGAGGGCATGGCAAAGAGCGGGCAAGGCATGGTGCTAGAGCAGTAGCTGAGGTTAACCTCTGCTCCTCTAGGGAGAGCGGGCAAGGCATAGTGCTAGAGCAGTAGCTGAGGTTAACATCTGCTCCTCTAGGGAGAGCGGGCAAGGCATGGTGCTAGAGCAGTAGCTGAGGTTAACATCTGCTCCTCTAGGGGGAGAGAGAGAGAGAGAATAGGAATGAATTCTAACCCATAGTAACATGCTTCATCTAGCAAGGCCACACCTCCTAACTCTTCCCAAACAGTTCTATCAACAGTGAACCAAGCATATGTGACGCTATGGGGACCATTCTCATTGAAAACTGTCCCAGCCCTCACCAGGCCTCGTGATGTTTCCTCTGTGACTCGACTGAACAAAAATGTTTTCTTTGTGGGAGCATTGTAAAACCGATCTTAGTGTCTGGCACCTTTATAAATCATCTGAATTTTGATCATCTGGCCATTTCATTTTGTCTGGTGTCTCTACTCTGAGTCATTATTTCCTCTCATACGGCAGATTTCTAGAAATGACACAATCTTCTCTATCAAAGTCTTGCTCACATTGACAACTTTTATTTGCTTCTCACGTTGTATTACAAACAGCACTGCTTTACTGTTGTGCTGGAAAGTGATAAACTATTCGTCATTCTTTATGCATTTGTGAGTCCGCATTGTACAAGTCTGCCCTTCCTTTGCTCATTTAGATTTAGTGGTATGGAATCATCAATTACTCTGTTCCTCTCATTAGACTCTTACATCTAGGCATTATACTAGACTCTTACAATCCAGTTCTCATATGCAATTAATATAAATGGCAAAATCCTGTGTGTGGGGTCTTTGGGTCCACAGTCATAGGGAAGCATCCTGGAATTCCTGGTACTGGAATTTTGTTCAGTTGCCTTAGGGCTTCTAGGAGTGCCTTTTGCTCCTCATGCCAGATGCCTGTGTTCACACTCGTTAGCCATAGTTTTATGTTACAGGCATAGACTGCTATAGGATTTTCTTAAGCACTCATTATGTATTACCTAATTACTTGTGTAGCTATAAAACCCTAGAATATCATTGCACATCTGACCCCTGCACCCTGTCCCAATTATTTCCTATCCTTGCTCCTATGGGGGTGTACTTACCTGCCTTTCAGATGCCTCTTTAAATCTGTAAAACACTCGGGCTAACACTATATAACAAGACCTTTTTACACACTCTGGGCAGGATCCCTGAGGGCTCACTGCAGTCCATTCCTTCCAAGCACATGCCACCTAGTGTCAATAAACTACAAGGCCCAGCGCAGCACAGAAAGGCCCCGTTACTTCTTGCAGTTCTTTTCTCAGAAGAGCAGTGTTCACGACAAGAATGGATGGATGGGGAACATTACCCTAAGATCTTTAAAGTCTCTAATCGTTCTTTGTGAACTATCCCAATTCCTCCCTCTGGAGTATTTCTTTAATGCACCCCCCCCCAAAAAAAAAAGAATAAGAGGTACAGGCTTGTGCTTAACATCTGGCCTGGGGTCAGGGGAGCCAGGGTGTCTTCTTCCAGGGTCTGACTGGCTCTGCACTTGTGCTGCTGCCTTCTGCTGCCCCTCTATGGGCCACATTTGACTCTCCATCCCCAGGGGGAAATTCCCCGTTCTTAGGACACACTCACTCCTTTTCGCTTGCACCTACGCCATCTCCATTTCCATTCACTGATGCTTATTGCTCCTGGGATCCAACAGGAAACAGTAGGTACCTGCCCCATCATCTGTCTAAGCCCAAATAATCTGCAGTTCAGCATGGGACGTTCCCGTTGCACTGTCTTCTATAGGCTTCCTTCTCTGCTGTGTTAGGGAAGTGGCTGTGGTGTTTCCCATTCCATAGAATTTCTTTTCTGAGTAGCAGTTGTCATAGTGGGAAGCCCTGGTATTTTCATGCTTTAATTCCCATTGGTAAACTGCTGTTCAGGCTTTAGGGACTTAGAGAAATTATAATCGCTTTTGGTCTTCTGTTAAGTTTTCCTCTTGGAAATTCCAGCTCTACACAATTCCTGACACATTTGCCTTTGACCTAGACGGAACCCATCATCCGCTATGTTTGGAGCACTTATGACAGCCTAAGTCGCTGGGGTCAGCAAAGCCACACAGTCCTGATATCTCTGCTGGATTGGCTAACCTCCTGACTTGTAGTGCATATAGTCCTGCCTTGTTTGGGGAGGTGAGCACAAGAAGTACTTCCCTCACTCCCAGTTCTCCTCCATGTTCATCTCCTTGCCTATTACGATTTGATTCTACTCACACATCCCAAATGTTCGGATCCCAGGAGACACTATTTAGAATTGGTATGACATGCACTCTTTGGAGTCGGACCCTTTCCACTCAGCTGGAAGAAGTGGTGAGGCTCTGCCTGCCTCCATTTTATCTTTATCCAGTTTGCCAATCAAATCAGGGCAACCATGAACGATTCCAGCTATATACAGTTAGTTCTTCATATCTGTTGTTTCTCAATCTGGATTTAGCCAATCTTAGATGCAAAATGGAGTTTGGGCTACTATAGTAGTTTTACGTGTACTGAATAGACTTTACTCTTGGCCATTTCCAAAGCTCTGCAGTATAGCAAGTTGCATTTCTATCATATTGGGTATTCTGAGTAATCTAGAGTTGATTTACAGAGTACTTGTTGCGGGAGGCTGCTTGTTGGTTTCCCAGCCGCCTGGCAGCTCAGACCTAAAATAATCACACAGAAACTGTATTAATTAAACCACTGCTTGGCCTGTTAGCTCTAACTTCTTACCTGCTAGATCTTATATTTTAATTTAACCCATTTCTAGTAATCTGTGTATCGCTACTTGGCTGTGGCTTACAGGGTAAAGTTCTGTCTGGCTCCCATAGGGCTACATGGCTTTTCTCTAACTCTGCTTCCATTCTCCCATTATTCAGTTTAGTTCTCCTCGCCTATCTAAGTTCTGTCCTATCAACAGGCCAAGGCAGTTTCTTTATTCACCAATGGTATTCACAGCATAAACAGGGGAATCCCACATCAAATACTGGAAATTATTAGTGTTATTGCAGATATCTACTGGTTTGAATGAATCCTTGGATTATAGTATGGAGAAGGTGTCCTACAACCAGTCTAAGATACAGAGGGGGGACTGTAAGAGGCTAGCGATCAGTAATGTTCCTTTATGGTTAAACAAACAAACACTATTTTATATGGTTTTAAAACAAATGCTGTGGTTTGTGCCTAGCAGGCACTTCTCAAAAAATAAACTTAGCTACTGATACCTTGTTTGAGCAATATTAAAGTTATTCATGTCAGAAATATAACTTAAAATTGCTTATTAAATTTGGATTTGACTTATTTTTTGTTTTCTAGTTATATAAGAGGCATAACTATGAGGAATTTATATTTGTTTATATTTAAGTGACATTTTAAAAACATGATTCAGTGTCAATAGAAGGTCTTTAAATTTCTTTAAAAAGTTAAGATTTCTACATAGAAGAGCTGGAATATGAGAACAATTTGAGCTACATAGTGAAAAGTAGGACCTTCTCTTCTAAAACCAAAAGTGTACATTCAAGTATGACAGATTCTGTTTTAGACATCCATTGATTTTGCTGTATATAAGTTTAATTTCAAAGTTATAGATTCTGTTTTTATTTTAAAATTTAGTCTCAGTCATGATGTGAAACTTATTTCTTCATATCATAAATATTTTCGGTGGGGAATCTAAATTTATATGGACTAGTTTTATTAAAAAGCATGTTATTTCTGACTATAGAATAAGTACTAAAGACTTATTAGACGAGGTAAAATTGAAATGGTCATGAGTGCCCTAAGGAAGAGCAAAGAATGACTTCAAGAGAATTCCTTCCCCTGATAATGGAGTGAAGTACAGCATGAACGTGCTTGGTGAGTGAGTGTTGAAGGTTTTGAGCATGTGATTGAGACAGTGAGGGGGAGAAAGTTGAAGGTCAGAGACACATGGAAGAGTCCCCAAGAGTGGTGGGCAGGGTGATGTTGACACATGAGAACAGCTGGCTGGGTTCAAGGTGCATAGTCAGTACCTTTCTCAGTTCTAGTTAGAGGTTTAAAGTTATCCATGTAACAAATGTGCAGAGACTACAGAACATGTAAAGGTTGCAAAAGGAAAGTAAAACCTGCAATCAGTGTTCTGCAGGCACCCACACAAATTGGGGAGGGGGTGCTTCCTGCTGCTCTTCTCCACTCTGCTCCAGCGGGGTCCCCCCATTGCTAGTTCCTTCTGCTAGACTCTTGCCTAGTGTGTTTGCTGGCCTGCTTTCTAGATGCCAGTCATCTCTGTTCATGTAGCACATCGCCCTCTAGCAACACTTGATCCACTCAGTGTCTTGTCCAGTGTTATTCCTAGTGAATGTGACCCAGGAACTAGTACAGTCTGTAGTGTTTACTTGTTGTTAGTTATTTGAATTATTTGATAAAGAACTTTAGATTTATTTACATATTTAATGGAGGTCTCAAGATATCACTAGCGTTTTTTAGGAATGTTTTCATTTTTCAGTGTAAAGTATATGCATGCTATTGTAGACTTTATAAAAATCCCCAGAGGAGTCATCCCTCTTGACTGTTAAGGGTGTGCTATGGAATGTACTTCTGTCTAATCTGCTTTTGTGGCCCCATTAGGGTGTATCACCATCTTGTAGTTCTGTGGTTTGACATTCTTCATCAAAACATATGGGTAGATTCTCCCTTCTTCCCTCCCTTCTCTCTCCATCTGTTTTCCTTTCACTGTTTCTTACTGTCTGTCCTTCTGTCCTTCCCTTCAAGGGTTAAAGTATTGAACTTCAGTTTTTGGTACCAGTACTTATAAAGTATTTGTAAAGTACAAGTAGATGACTTATGGATTGTGTGGGCACTGCACTTGGCTTCCATGGTGCCTGTGTAACTACTGCTATGAGATTTTCCTAACTGTCAGCTCTGTCTTCAGGTACACTGAAGAGATGGTGCCCTGGCACCCTTGCATGAAACTTATTAGCAATTGTGAGCAGAAGCTTTCCAGTCACACAGCAAGGCGCTTGATCACAATGGAAAAGGTGAAGGAATTTGAGGTATGTTGCCTACATTTATTTTTTTTGAAACTTGATCTTTCCAGATAGTTTTCCTGGAGTAGGATTTGGAAATGTTCCTCTTGATTTTGATGGTATAGGTGAGTTTAGGAAGAAGCAAGCTGAGGAAATTTGTGGCATTTGGTTGTTGTAGGAGTGGAATGGAGGGTTTTTTAGAAGAGCAGAAAACACTCACTGATGCCATGGGCTTTTTTAGGTGTCCTGTTGCAAAAGCATAACTCTCTGACTACAGACTTGAATGTTTGTGTTAATCTGTTAAGAATGTGTTCATGCACACACATGCCATGGCTCACATGTAGAAGTCAGGACACCTGAGGGAGTTGGTGCGCTTCTTCTACCATGTTGTTTCCAGGTCATCAGGCTCGGTGGCAGTCACCTTTACCTGTCGAGCCATCTCACCGGCTGAATTGTAAATTTTCATCGAGACAATGATTCTTTATTTAAGGAAACAAGGAAAATATCCTCATTTGTTAGAGTACAGTGTCAGTAATCATTCATTCTCATAGTCTCTCATTCTCTCTCTCTCTCTCTCTCTCTCTCTCTCTCTCTCTCTCTCACACACACACACACACACACACACACTATATTTAAGTTTTAATAACATTTATTACTTTCTATCTAGAGATCTAGATTAGAAGTGATGTAACTAGTACCTCATTTAATGCCACTTGAGTACCAGGACAAAATGTCCTTTGTGCTGTTCTTCTCTGAACTGACTGGCTCTCCCAAATGTATTGGCTGCTTGGACAAGCCTTGTTCTTATAGGGCAAGCAGAACAGTTGTGCCTGAATATTTTCTAATGCCCATCTCCACTCTGCATTTGATTGATTATCATCTAATTTATAACTTATGGGTCTTTCACAATAGTAATTGATACACTGCCTTTTGTGTCTGTCACTTTGCATCTTTCATCCCTTTCTCATTAGTTATCTGTCTTTAATTTAGATTCTTATTAGCACATAATTGGTTTACGCTGACAGATCCCAATCTTCCTCCTGTCTTGTTCATATCTATTAAGCAGATTCTCCTAAAATATGGCATTTATGTTACTTTATGCAAAATGTTTTAGTTAATAATTTTTACTAGTAGATAATGTTTTTTAAAGTTTTCAGCATGGTATAAATTATCCTCAGTAATTATCCTCCAACATCAAAACTTTTCAGGAAACTAAGCTATTCATCTAGATAAGTAGTTGATGGTTAACTACTAGATGTCTGGGTATTTTTATGCTTGGGTGTATAGATATATGTGGTTTGATGAGAATGCGAGGTAGTAGTTAAAAAAAACACAGCACCAACCTGTTTATGTTACAGCCTCATCTCTGCAATTACTATTTAGACAATAGATACTTATGGGATGGACACGGTTTTCCAGTGTGCTCCTAAAGTTTATCTGTGTACTTACATTTAAGAAGGGATATCACTACTAAACCATTGATACTACACATTTTGTACTGGATAATTTTCCTAATTAGAGTTCCTTGTGGAAATCAAGTCCTGTCCCAAGTATGACAATGTACCATTAATTGTTCAGAACGTTGCAGATCAGAAGCTCTCAAGAGTAGTTTCCTTATTTATTGGCACAGTGACAACCTTCAGAAATGTCCATTTTGAATCCAGTAGAAGCCCTGTATCTTACTGTCCATTGCAGTTGAGTGATCAGTACTGGCCGCTCTGACTCAAAGCCACCTGTTTGATGGTGGTAATGTGTTAAATACTTCCAGTTGCAGGCTTACTTCCATGTACCAACTACACTTTCTGTTTCCCTGAGTTACTTGTGCTGTTCTCAGGGCTGTTTACTCCAGGTAGAAGTGCCACAGTCTGATGACCTGAGTTTGATTCCTAGAACCCAGATGGAAGGCGAGAGCCAACTTTCACAAGATGTTCTCTGATGTGTGACACATGCAGCCACTCCCAAATGAAATAAGTAAATAAGTGTAGCTTTTAATATGTATATAAAGACTTAAGTTGAGAATAGAAAAAGGATCACAGTTCAAGTTTTTGGACTCAGTTTGCTTTGTAAGACACTTAAGTTCTTGGTTTACTTGATGCAAGACAGAACTAGGGCTCTATAGGTTAATTTCATAAAGGCTGATAAATTGCTGTATAAATATTTATAAGTGAATCGGTATTTTAAACTACAGAAATATCTCATGTTTGTGGAAGTGGGAAGTGCCAAGGTTGTTTTCTAGGAGGTGGAACTGCTCTCCTGGCATCTTGGTGTCTCCCTTGTTGCAGTGCCTCACACAGCCTTTGTTGGTCAGCCTGCCCATGTTGTCTCTTCCTTTTCACAAAGATACTGGTTACAGTGGATTAAGGCATACCATTATGACATCTTTTACCCTTAATTTCTGCCTCAAAGGCCTTGTCTTGAAATATAGATTTTGAAGTAAGTCTTTTTTAAGCATTGGGGGTGGGGGGTTATGGTAGTCCCTAATGCTAACCATCATCAGCTTAATAGGCTGTTTGTTGGTAGAGCCACTCTCCGTTCCCTGTCAGTGGCATCTCGTGTATTTGTATGTTTTTCTCTTGATATGTTAAAGGAAGTGAGGTGTTGGAGCATTTAATAGTAGCTTTACAGCTTCTATGGATTATAGCATTTAACATAATCATTTGAGTTGGTGATGAATGATACTAGTAGCTGTTGTGTTATGTGCCAGGACAAAAGAAATAGTTAAACAAAACAGAAATATTACTTGTAGATGTTATAGCTTTAATTCTTGTTAGCAAAAAGCAAAATATGTAACATGAGCTTCCTTCATGACTTGCCTAAATAAATAACAGTTCTCCATAAATTATGTCCCATGGAATTGCCCAGCTATGGAGAAGACTCTTGGCCATTTCTGTTTTTTACAGAAACTGGAACAAACAGTAAACTAGGATCTTCTGTGAACTAATTTCATATATGCTTTCTCCCGAGTTTAGTTTAAGAAAGTCTGTTTTTCTTCCAAATTTATACTTCTGGAAGCAAATTTATTTCAAAGTCAAAGAAAAGTGGGCTTCTGAGAATTCTTACTGTATATTAAAAGGATAAATAAGCTCATCTCCCTCAGTGTTTTCAACCTGTAAAAACAGGACTGCTCCTGACTTGGCTTCCTGCTTTCAATTTGTTCTTGTTTGAAGCAGGTGCGTGCCTGTGTGCATTGAGACAGTGTCTCACTGTATAGCACTGACTGTCCTGGAATTCATCTGTAGATGAGACAGGCCTCCAATTCAGAGGTGTGCCCCACCACACATGCCGAAATTGATTTTTTTCTTTTTTAATAAGGAAAATCTCTTCCTAATGGTCACATTAGTACAGGCTCCATTAGCAAGTCTTATGTAGTGTGGGATTAACTGTTGATGTATTGTTAACATGACTCTCTGCCATGTTTTTTTTTTTTTAATTCATTGCTTCACTTCTGCCTTCTCTTTCCTGCTGAGGAATGTCTGCAGTTACATCAGCGCTGCAGCCCTTCATAACACAGGCGAACACAGAGTTGTCAAACAGTCACGTCTGACAAATTGTTCTCAGGCTTGTTCAGTGCTGTTGATCTTGGCAGTGAATGAATATTAATTTTAAATTTTACACTTCATGTTCTTTTGCTTTTGACTTGACAGTTGTTTGGTCTAACCAGTTTAAAGTTAGGCTTACTTGATATGTTGTTGAAAGTATTCTCCCACCATTTAAAATGTAGAAATAAGTCATAGAAATTAGTCTAATGAATATGAATATTTATATCTTTACATCGTTGGCTATAGTTTTAGACTTGTTTATTTTGTTAGAATTGTGAAGAAGCTATTGATAACCATGTCAATATTATGAAGATACCCGATGAGAAGAACCTCATTTTTGTTGTCATTATCCTTCATTGATATATTCTAGAAACTAAATGAATTGTTATTATCCTTCATTGATATATTCTACAGACTAAGTGAATTAAGTGCCCTGTTTTCTTGGTGCTTGTCTGTAAACACTTTTGAGTTTATGTCACCATTTCAGAGATAAAGAGCCTTCCTATAGTACACTGATGACTAAGTGAACAGCAGACTTAAAAACAAGTCTTTATCCTTGAAATTTGACCCTTTTCCTACATCACATAATCTTCTACCTTTGTAGTGTGTGATATTAAAGGTCTGTGCATGCTGTTTAGGGACAAGATTCTTGCCTATCACACACATGACCTAGGGGTTCATTATAACTACCACAAAAATAGATAAGCAACAAATATTCTTAAGCATTGAATTCCTAGCCTCTTTTAAACATACTCCTAATTTCCCTGTTGTTTTTAGCCAGTGTTCTCAGGATGCCGTGACATGATGTAATAAGTTTTGCTAAGGTCATTTTTCCTCTTCTCATTGACACACAGTTAATGGTACTGTGTATAGTTGTGATAACTCTATGAAACATTTGTTTATATATAAAATTCACTAAATAAAAAGACTGATCTCCAAAAAATAAAGGAATTCTAATCTCCAGAAATCTCTAGATTAGAACAGAGTGTATACAAGGGACTATGCATTCAGTGCAAACTACCTAAAATCAGTATGCTCTCAATGGCTTCTGCCAGTACCTACTAGAACCAGATGAAATACTACCTAGAGTAGCTACTTCACAGGTTTTTCTTGACTTTTTTTCTTTAAGAGATTTATTTTTATTCATCTATATGTAAGTGTATGAGAATGCATGTGTGTATGCATGCATACATCTCTGTGAGTATATGTATGTCTGTGTTTGTATGCCATGTATGTGCAAGTGTCCATGGGAACCAGAAGAGGGCATCAGATTCCTTAGAACTGGGGTTACAGGCAGTTGTGAGCCACCCAATGTGGGTGCTGGAAACCGAGCTCTAGTTCTCAGCAAGAATAATATATTCCTTTAACCACGGAGCTACGTCTCTCCAGAACCTCGAGATTAAGAAGAAAGAAAACAAAGGCATGCAACCTTTCTAGTCTCCTCTACAATATATACTTGATTAAAGATAAATACATCATCATCATCAT